CTCAGGATCGTAGGCCCCTCGTGTTTCATCCTCACTGCCCTGCTCTGACTGTTCGACCAGCAAGGAAACAAGGGTCTGGTTTCTCATGCGGAGGGTCACGAACCCTGCCAGTTCCCAGCTATAGGACAGCGGCCGGCAGCCCCCTCACGTACACCACGACGGTGCAGCTGGAGTATGGTATGGAGGGCATCTTGCCCTGAGAACGTTCAAGCAGCCACACTGTGGACAGAGGGTTGCGGCTTCCTTTAAGCGTGCTGTTTCTCAAAAACATCATCCCATTGCTTTGGACGGGATCCCTGCTCTCCTTCTGGGGAAGGCTTTGGCAGGTTTGGGGAAGAGGACTGTTTAATCTCCAAGGGAAAAATACAAAGCACCCATCCGTGGCTGGCCACTGTGAACATAAACGAGGATAAGAATGGTCCTGTAGCCCCTTAAAGTATGTCTAGACTACAGGCTTACGTCGACATAAGTTTTGTCGACAGAATCTGTCGACAAAACTTATGTCGACATAGAGCGTCTAGACTACATCCAGTTCTGTCGACAAAGCAAGCCGCTTTGTCGACATAACAGTGTGGACACAAAGGACAGTGTAGATGCAATAATGCCTTCTATCGACAGAACTCTGTCGATAAAAGGCGTTATTCCTCGTAGAATGAGGTTTACGTACGTCGACAAAACTGCTGAGTTTTGTCGACATTAAGTCGACATAACTCAAAGGCAGTGTGGACGCAGATATAGTTTTGTCGACAAAAGTCCACTTTTGTCGACAAAACCCTGTAGTCTAGACACATCCTTAGAAACTAACCAAAAAATATATCGATAGTATCATGAGCTTTCATGAGCACAACCCATTTCCTCAGATGACAACTATGGACCAGGAGGCACAGAGGTTCAATTGTAAAGCAAAAAAAGAGGGAGAGGCAGAGGAGAAAACCCCCTGACAATTAAAGTGTCCATGCTAAATGAGACTAATAGAATGGGCTATAAGTGCCCAACACTTAGCTTCTGATGTCATTTGGGTGTTGACTACAGCAGCCCATCCAGTTCATGTTTTTGTTCAAGCCATGAGAAATAGTGTCCAATTTGCATATAAAGGCCAGTTCCGCAGACTCTCTCGTTAATTCCTGAAATTACCTTGTAAGAGAATAGCCACCTTTAAATCCATTGAGGAGTGCCCGGGCAAGTTAAAATGGTCCCTAAAGGTTTCTGTGCGTTGCCTTTTCAGATGTCTGATTTGCGTCCATGAATTAATTTGTGCCTCTTGCTCTGTAGTTGTCATCTGAAGAAGTGGGCTGTGCCCATGTAAGCTCACGATACCATCTACATATTTTTTGGTTAGTCTCTAGGGGTGCGTCTAGACTACATGGCTCCGTCGACGGAGCCATGTAAAGTAGTTTACTCGGCATAGTCAAAGAAGCGGGGATTTAAATAAACCCACTTCATTAAAATAAACGCTCTGCCGACAATCAGCTGATCCGGCACAGCGCGGCAGTCTAGATGCGGCGCATTCGACAAAGTAAACCTCGACAAAGTGAAACCAAAGTTTCACAAGGCATAATGGAGCTGTGCCAGATTGGCTGATTGTCGGCACAGCGCGGCAGCCATTTTTATTTTAGAAGCGGGATTATTTAAATCCCCGCTTCTTTGACTATGCCGAGTAAACTACTTTACATGGCTCCGTCGACGGAGCCATGTAGTGTAGACGCACCCTAAGGTGCAACAGGATCATAATGGTTGTTTTTAAAGTTTTTTTCATCACAGACTAACACGGTGACCCCTCGGAGACTTAAACAAGGATACTGCAGGAGCCTGCGAAACGGGCAAAGAGCAAGGTGCTAAGAAGGGAAAATACTGGTCTAATATACAGCTCTGATTGGGAACCCAGAGGGGCCAGTCAAAGCCAGTACCTGATGGTTAGGTTCTCCATGACCTCTGGAAAGCGCTCCAATTCCTCCCTGAGCTCCTCAAAGGTGATAGAGCCACTCTTGTCTTTGTCGGCTGACTCAAAAAGAGCCAGGGTGAGGTCGTCCAGCTTCTCCTCCGGCAAAGATATTGCACTCTCCTTCAGACACGATTTCAGGACCGTGCGCAGTTCATCAGGGTCAATGGAGCCACTGCCTACGGTGAGCAAGAATTTGCATCTGACCAAGAGTACAGTAATAGCCCTTTGGCTCCTGAGATTCCGAGACATACGAGGTGGTACAATAGCTAGTGAGCCGGTTTAGGGACACCCTGGCTGCTTTTAGTTTTATCTTTCCCTTTGATGCAGAAACGGGCTTCCTTCCTGCCCCTCAGGATTTTCACGGGGACACTGTGCCCCCCCCCTCCCCCCCAGTGGCTAGCTGTTGGTAGATTAGGAAAAAATGGTTCTATTTAGAGGAACTAGTGAATGATCTGCGGGAAACAGCTATTTGGAGAGCACGGATTCCAGTCTTAGTGGTCAGTGTTCACCATGACGAAATCCACACAGATAATGCTTAACGGGCCACAAAACGTAAAGACAAATTAGCTTGGAAGGTGATTGGGCTCTTAGTTTTGTGGCCAATCCTTTCAACTCGATTAGATCAGAAAGAAAACACTACCAAGGCAGAACTGGGGGGTTTATTTGGCCGAGGTTTCGCTTTTCCTTGATTATAAAGAAACACATTTCTCACACACCAACATTTCAATACTTGCCCAAATAAAAAAGCACGACCCTCAAAACTAAACACCTTTGCACATTTCAAGAAGGGGTCAATATTGTCTGGAGTCAGGTCCCTAGGTTCAAACCTGCCCCTGTGGTTTTGATCAATCTAGGGATGTAAATATGCAGGGGAAAAGTTAACCAGTTAAATCAGGGGTCTCCAACCTTTTTAACCACAAGATCGCTTTCTCAATTGAAGTGCAATATAAGATCTACCCCAAACCTAGGTAAATGTGCCCTGCTTCCTTCCTGCCTCTTCTCTGAGGCCCCGCCCCTGCTCCGCCCCTTCTCTGAGGCCACGCCCCTGCTCCACCTCTTCTCTGATGCCACGCCCCTGCTCCGCCCCTTCTCTAAGGCCTCACTTTGTTCACTCCATCCCTCTTCTTCTCCATCACCACGCACTTTCGCCAGGGTAGGGTAGGGACTGGGGTGCAGGTTCTGGTCTTGGCCAAGGAGTAGGGAGTGTGGGAGGGGCTCTTGGCATAGCCCAGGGCAGAGGATTGGGGTCCAGGAGGGGTTTCAGAGTGCAAGTCCTGGGAAGGAGTTTGAGATCAGGGGGGCAGGAGGTTGAGGGCAGGAGGAGACAGAAGAGCAGGACACAGACTCTGGCTGGGCACTGTTTAACTGAGACAGCTTCCGGGTGGGGGAGCAGTGGGGTTAAAGCAGCTTACCCCTGCCCTGGCCCTGCCCCACTCCCGAAAGCAGCTGGTATCTACAACAATGGCTGCATGATGCCATGCGCTGCCCCTCATTTACAGGCACTGAACCCACAGTTTCTGCTGGCCACAGTTCCCTGCTATTGATCCATGGGAGCTGCAGGAGCGGTTGCAAGCCAGGACAGCATGTGGAGACCCCCTGCTCTGCCTCTCTCAGGCTGGTTTGTGCCAGCCACGTCCAGGAACAGTAATTCCCAGAAGGATAATGACTCCAGCCACGGCAGGCGTGGCACTGTAGAACTCACTGCTCAAAAAATTCCATTTAAGCAGGAGAGAGAAATGAAAATGACGAAATGCACCGACCAGCCAAACGCCCAAGATACCCCACTTTGCCAGCAGGAAGAGAAGCAATGTGTGTTGGGTCAGGAGAGGAGCATGAGGGGCAGTGTGTGTGTGTGAGAATGATTTGCATTGCCAAGTTCCTTCCATCCCCTTCTCTCTGCGGAGATGGGGTCCAGGAGTGGGGGGAGGAGGGACACCCTGACATCAGCACCCCCCTTTTCCCTCCCACACCGTGCACAGCAAGCAGGAGGCTCCCAGAGGACAGCTCCAAGGCAGACGGCAGGAGCAGCAGGACAGTGAGTGCAGGATCAACTGATGTGCCAGCGCTTGAGAGCTTCCTGGCCAAACCTGTCAACATCACCTGTCAGAGGCTCTGAGATCTACTGGTTGGTGACCACTGAGTTAAATGAATTAATTGCAATTGTTTAACCGGTTAACCAGCTACGGTCTGGCCAGCTTACTAGGCGGGAGGGCTCCTCCAACCCAGCCCTCCACGGATAGGCAGGGGGCTGCTCCCCCCAGCCACACCACAGCCGGCTGCTCCACACACCTCTCCCCCTCCCCCCGGTAAATCGTTTAACTGCAATGCTTCCCGGTTAACCAGTTACCCTTTTCCATCCCTCGCTCAGACCACTCCGGGAATAATATTTGTGACAAATGCAGCTTTTGGGGGCTGCAAAGTACTTTCCCTTGTCTCTGACCGTGCTTGTTCTTTGCTGGGTGTGTACAAACACCGGGTATAAATCGTTCAAATAAATCGGTGCAATTAATCCGAACAGGTGAGTGCTGACAGCGAGTTTAAAGAGGGAGTTCTCCAGGTAAAGGAGAAGCAGATACAGGACTCTTGAGGGAAGTGTGTGTTGTGTTTGGGGCTTTCTTGCTGTGTGCTGAGCTTGTGTTTGTGAGGCTGTGTCCAGACTCCATGCCTCCTTCGACGGAGGCATGTAGATTAGCCAGCTCGGCAGAGGGAAATGAAGCCGCGATTAAAATAAACGCGGCTTCTAAGCTGGGGGGAGAGGTAGATATGCTTGAGGGAAGAGATGGGTCCAGAGTGCCTTAGACAAATTGGAGGATTGGGCCACAAGAAATCTGATGGGGTATGTCTACACTACCCTCCTAGTTCGAACTAGCGGGGTAGTGTAGACATACCCCTGAGGCTTAACAAAGACAAGTGCAGAGTCCTGCACTTGGCACGGAAGAATCCCAAGCATTGTTATAGACTGGGGACCAACCAACTAAGTAGTAGTTCTGCAGAAAAGGACCTGGGGGTTACAGTGGATGAGAAGTTGGATATGAGTCAACAGTGTGCCCTTGGGGCTAATGGCATAAAAGGCTGCATTAAGAGGAGCATTGCCAGCAGATCCAGAGATGTCATTATTCCCCTTTATTCGGCTTTGGTGAGGCCACATCTGGAGTATTGTGTCTAGTTCTGGGCCCCCCACTACAAAAAGGATGTGGACGCATTGGAGAGGGTCCAGCGGAGGGCAACCAAAATGATTAGGGGGCTGGAGCATATGACTTATGAGGAGAGGCTGAGGGACTTGGGTCTGTTTAGTCTGCAGAAGCGAAGAGTGAGGGGGGATTTGATAGCAGCCTTCAACTTCCTGAAGGGAGGTTCCAAAGAGGCTGGAGAGAAGCTGTTCTCAGTAGTGACGGATGCAGAACAAGGAGCAATGGTCTCAAGTTACAGTGGGAGAGGTCCAGGTTGGATATTAGGAAAAACTATTTCACTAGAAGGGTAGTGAAGCGCTGGGCTGGGTTCTCTAGGGAAGTAGCAGAGTCTCCATCCCTAGAGGTGTTTAAGTCTCAGCTTGACAAAGCCCTGGCTGGGTTGATTTAGTTGGGATTGGTCCTGCCTAGAGCAGGGGGCTGGACTTGATGCCCTTCTGAGGTATCTTCCAGTTCTATGATTCTATGAATCCATTCACGAATCTCTGGCCGTGCGCCAAGGTCAGAGGTGTGACCGCAACATGGGGAGACATTCCCCAGCCAGCTCTGCTGTCGCTTGCTCCAAAGACAAGGAGAGGGATGCTGAGAGCAGGGGCTAACTGCCTGATTATGTATCCTGAGTCCTGCCCCTGCTGTGCAGCTCCCCGGCTCTCCAGCAAAGCTAGCTCGGGGGTGGCTACGCATGCCCCTGATATTTAATTATCAACAGCCCCAAGAAGAGAGACTGGGAGGGAGGTACCCATAAGCCAGTGGTCAGCCACCTGGCTTATGGGTGGCTCAGCTGGGAGGGGGGATCTGCTACCTTGAGATCTCCCTCTAAGGATTTGAACCCGAGTCTCTCATATCCTGGCGAGTGCTGCTGCCCCTCTGGACTATTGGGTAAAAAGGGAGAGGAACCACCACTCAACCTGGCTGTGTTCTGGTGGGCTCTGATCTACTAGATGCCCTCTAAAGGGGTCTCTGGGCACACTAGCCCGATCATGCCCCACAAGGGGGATAGAGGGAGGTAGGCCTTTGTTTGAGAATCCCCTGGGGCTGCATTGTGACCTGCTTGCAGACAGGTGGCTGTGCACATGTCCCGTGACAGATAGGGAGGCATCCAGGGGACGTGAGCAGTGGAAACGCAAGCTGCTCGGGAGTTGGGCGGCAGAAGAGCAGTAACTGATTATAGAAATTTTGGACTTCGGTGCCTGACCTGGCAATGAGTGCCTAAGGGTGTGTCTAGACTACAGAGTTTTGTCAACAAAAGTGGACTTTTGTCGACAAAACTATACCTGCGTCTACACTACCGCTGAGTTCTGTCGACATAATGTCGACAGAACTCAGCAGTTTTGTCAACACTGGTAAACCTCCTTTTACGAGGCATAACGCCTTTTGTCGACAGAGTTCTGTCGACAGAAGGTGTTATTGCATGTAGGATTGTGTCTAGACTATAGGGTTTTGTCGACAAAGCACCTTGCTTTGTCGACAGAACTGGATGTAGTCTAGACACTCTATGTCGACAGAAGTTTTGTCGACAGTATCTGTCGACAAAACTTCTGTCGACAAAACCCTGTAGTCTAGACGTACCCTAAGTCTCCTTGGTGAATCTAGCCCCAGTTGTTTGGCTCTTCTCCAGCATCGAGGGTAACAGCATAGCCAGGTAGAACTTACAATAGGAACGAGTTTAGCTGCCGTCTTTTAAAGGAGAAGACTATGTTGTCCTGGAGGAGGACAAGGCTGGCAAGCTAGAATGTTAGACAATGGCTTGAGCTGAGCTATCTGATTAGTGTAAATACATGCTAATGGCATGCTCCCTCCATCCATCTTTAAGAAGTAGCTAATGCTCATGGAGGACAGCAACACTGGTAGCCAAATGACTACTGTTCGTTCTTCAGAATCTTACCATCTACGTCGTAAACTTGGAAGAGGAATCGTAGCTTGTCTGTTTCGTCTCCGTGGATGAGAAGGTTCAAGGCTTTGAGTAACTCATCTAAACTTATAGTTCCACTCCCGTCGGAATCAAACAATGCAAAGAACCTCTCCGCGAAGAAGGACTATGGAAGGAACAAATATTTTCAACAATACGTGATGGGTACTTCTTATAAAGCCATCCAGAAGTCTTCTATTAACAGCAGCGAAAAATATGGCCCGAAAAAGGCTGAATATCATGGTAATGAGCAATCTTACCCAAAACTCCTCCAACCGACTAACTTCAAGATTTAGCTCGTCTTTCACCCATGGTTTCCAAGACTGCTAATAATATACAGTGACTAATCAAAGCTCTCTTTAAAACACTTCTTCATTAGCCTTGCCTATCCATTTTTTAAGCTTCACTCTTCTATTTAAAATAGGGCAACAACAGATCACAGACCCATTTTATTCCAAAAAAAACCCAACAAATGGTCTGGTAGCACTTTATAGACTAACAAAACATGTAGACAGTAAAGTGCTACCAGATCTATTTTTTCCTGTAACAGACTAACTTGGCTATCCCCTGAAGCTTCCATTTTAATCTGCCACTATTGTTTTGCACCAAATACTGACAAAGTCTAATATGACTTCTACAATTTGAGCTCATGTCCAGTTATCTACACAGCAAAACAGACCATCTGAACCAAACGTCTCCCATGCTCGAAAGAACTTGCCTCTTTCACTTTCAGAGCAGTTTTGAATTCTTCCAAGTCAATTTCTTTATCGTCCCCAGCGATGCTTTCAAACTGCTTCGTTACCCACTCCAGCCATGAAGAATCATTGTCTATACTCATGGTGCTAGGAAGTCCAAAAAAAGACACCGTTAAGTTTGGATCCAATTCTGCTGGGAAAAGAGATGAGCTTTCCAGTTACATGCATCAAGTTCTTCCTCACACCTATGAAAGGGGCGTAAAGTGTTACAGCTAAATACTAAATGGAAGCGATCTATTAGCATAAGTAATTAACACACATTGTAAGAGACCATTCAAGGTGAAGGGGCCTGTTAACAACTCTCCGGTCATAGGACACAAAAGCAGGGTGAGTGGGTTACGGATCATAGAATCATAGGACTGGAAGGGACCTCGAGAGGTCATCGAGTCCAGCCCCCCTCAAGGCGGGACCAAGCTCCGTCTGCGCCATCCCTGACAGATGTCTATCTAACCTGTTCTTAAATATCTCCAGAGAGGGAGATTCCACCACCTCCCTTGGCAATTTATTCCAATATTTGACCACCCTGACAGTTAGGAATTTTTTCCTAATGTCCAATCTAAACCTCCCCTGCTGCACTTTAAGCCCATTACTCCTTGTCCTGTCCTCAGAAACCAAGAGGAACAAATTTTCTCCTTTCTCCTTGTGATACCCTTTAAGAGGAATAAGGGATCTTCCGGAAAAGGCTTTATTTTCCGAAAGATCCCGTCTAGACTGGCGCTTTTCTCCGGCAAAGCCCCGAGCCGGAAAAACACGGCAGCCGTGTTCATGCAAATGCCGCGGGGGATATTTAAATCCCCCGCGGCATTTGCAATTCCGACTTGTCTCATTAGCATCCCTTTTCCGGAAAAGGGTGCCAATGTAGACACAGCCCCAGTGTCTAGCACAGTTATGAATGTAACTTCACAGGAGCATCGTTTGACTGTGTTGTGCAGCTTTCCTTTGAGAACGAGGCCTGAGAGGTCAGATAAGGAGCCAGTGGGGCTGACAGCCACCATGGGCCCCAGGGCAAGGTGGGAGGGGGGCCTGACTCTGTGCGTCTGGACCATGGCGCCGGGACCCGCCACCCAGACCTCAAAGCTACGTGGAGTTCCGCAGCAGTTCAAAGGGACCCAGGGCTCCAGCTGCAGCAGTGGCCAGGAGCTCCAGCTTCCTTTGAAATGCTGGGCCCCTGTGCATCGTGTCCTTTACCACCTTTCTCCCCCCCAGCCCCCCTGAAGCCCTGTACAGAGCAACTGTTTTGTGAAGTGTTTGCCCAGGGGTGTTTCTCTCTTGCATTGTTCCTCGGTGTGAGGACAATTGCCTGGTTTCACCCATCTAGTTGTTACTGGGTGAAACCAATAAAGCCAGGTAAGTGAGCACTGGGTCAGCCGTAGGGAACCGGTTGGGCTTGATAATGCTTTGGGAATTGTATTTCGATATTTCACTGTCATAGGTGTTCCCCCAGGCCTCTGTTAAAAGAGGAGGTACAGTCCCAGGCTCCTATGTGTCCAGACCCAGTTTCTTTTCCTTCTATGCAAGGCCCCAGGTGTAGTATCTCCCCCCAGTCCTTGTCCACTACGCCCTCTGCTCTGCAGCCCCTTTGCCTGTTTTACCTTCTGCATTTGAGTCAACCGGTTTTTTCCTCCACACTGCTTGGCTGCCAGCACAGGGAGCGCAAGAGAGACCATCTCCCTGTGTTCCGTCCCTGTGCCCAGTACCAGAGCAGTAAAGAGCAGCAACTGCAGGCAAAACCCTGCTCAGGGCATGTCTATACTTACAGGGGGATTGGCGCTGTGACAATCAATCTTCAGGGTTTGATTTAGTGGGTCTAGTGAAGACCCATTAAATCAATCACTGATCACTCTGGACTGAGAAGCGTAAGGAAAGTTGAAGGGAGGGTTTCTATCCTTTGTGGACAGAGTTGGCAACGGGGTTCATTACAGGGGTAGGTTCCTGAGTGAGTGTATCTGAGATGTTGCTGGAAAGGTTTGGCTTCAGGTTTGGGGGCTGTCTGTAGGTGAGGATTAGCCTGTCTCCCAAGCCCTGTGCGATGAAAGATCGTTTTCCAGGATAGGTTGTTGATTGTCAGTGATGTGTTGGAGGGGTTTACGCTAGAGGCTGTAGGTGATGACAGCTGTTCTGTTCCTAACTCTGTCTGCATATCTATACAAGCGACACCATCACAGGAACTAACCACATAAACCACAACATCAGGGGCTCATGCAGCTGCACATCCTCTAATGTGATGTATGCAATCATGTGCCAGCAATGCCCCTCTGCCACGTATATTGGCCAAACTGGACAGTCTGCAACAAAGGATAAATGGACACAAATCAGACATCAGAAACGGGAACACACAGAAACCTGAGTTCCTGGCCACTCAGTCATGGATTTAAAAGTAGCTGTTCTTCTACAAAGGAATTTCACTGCCCAGTTACAGAGGGAGACTGCTGAACTGGAATTCAGCTCGAATTTTGACACTGTTACCCTGTGCTTGAATAAAGACATTAACTGGTTGGTGCATTACAAAGCCAATTTCTCCTGCCTTTGACATTCGCATTTCCACATCAAAAGCTATGAATGGGACACATCCAGCCCACTTAATTAGCTTCATTAACATGGGTCCTATAATTGAAAGGTACTTCTTCTGCAGATAGATAGATAGATAGATAGATAGATAGATAGATAGATAGATAGATAGATAGATAGATAGATAGATAGAGGGGGTGTATGGAGCTAGATAGATAGAGGGGGTGTATGGAGCTAGATAGATAGAGGGGGTGTATGGAGCTAGATAGATAGAGGGGGTGTATGGAGCTAGATAGATAGAGGGGGTGTATGGAGCTAGATAGATAGAGGGGGTGTATGGAGCTAGATAGATAGAGGGGGTGTATGGAGCTAGATAGATAGAGGGGGTGTATGGAGCTAGATAGATAGAGGGGGTGTATGGAGCTAGATAGATAGAGGGGGTGTATGGAGCTAGATAGATAGAGGGGGTGTATGGAGCTAGATAGATAGAGGGGGTGTATGGAGCTAGATAGATAGAGGGGGTGTATGGAGCTAGATAGATAGAGGGGGTGTATGGAGCTAGATAGATAGAGGGGGTGTATGGAGCTAGATAGATAGAGGGGGTGTATGGAGCTAGATAGATAGAGGGGGTGTATGGAGCTAGATAGATAGAGGGGGTGTATGGAGATAGATAGATAGAGAGAGAGATAGTTTCTGTTATTTCGATTCCAACTCATCTGATGAAGTGGGTCTTATTCCTGACAGCTCATGATCCTATATATTTTTGTTAGCCTCCAGGGTGCCACAGGACTACTTGTTTCTTCCTAAATGGAAAGAGCTAGGACCGCCAAATTTGGTCAAGGTAAGGGTTTTGTTGTGCCAAGACAATGGGATGTGCTTGGAATTCAATTGTTTCTCATAACATGGAAAGGGGAATATGGTAGGAGGGACTGTGATACTGTAGATTGACCACAGGGGGGCAGCAAGGGGCTAGAGATGGGGACCAGGATAGCTAGAACACCACTGGACCAGCAGGGGGAAGAGGTGGAGAAAGGGACAGCTATTTTACTATATATTTCAGAAAGTGTGTTTGTTTGTGTGTCTGTCTGCCCCAGCTGGGGGACATGCACCCCCTCCCCAGCTGGGCCTGCTGCAGCAGCCATGGAGAGGCACTTCTCACCTGACCCCAAGCTGCTGCAGTGAGAGAGGGCTGGGGTTGTCCTCTCTCCCCAGGGCAGCCTGCATACGGAACTCTTCATCCCCAGCCCCACCCCAGAGCTATGATTTAAATGAAGAAAAATAAGACTTACACGTTAAGGACCCGAGCAATGCGGGGTAAATCTTACAGTAAGAACCTAAGAATGGCCATACTGAGTTGGGACAAACGGTTCATAAAAACCAGAGAGTACTCAACATGTCATTTCAACACTGTAAGTTGGGGTTCTCAAACTTATGATACCGCAACCCCCCTCTCCGTTGCTTGTGACCCCCCCCTCTCCATTGCTGCAACCTGCATCTCAGCTGCTCGCGACCCCTCTCTAAGTTGTTTGCAATCTCCCTCTAAGTTGCTCGCGACCCCCCACGGGGTCGGGACTCACAGTTTGAGAAATGCTGCTGTAAGTCATCCCCTATGTGTCATATTCTATGACGCTAACACCCTGCCAGAGCCCTCAGCCCATCCTCACATGACACTGCAGGAGTCAGCCAAACAGGGATCATTGTGAGAATTTCACACTCATTTGCAGAGGATCTTCCAATAATATTTCAGGTATTTTTATATCCAGTTTATGTGTGTGTGAGACACACACGCAAAGCAGGCATCAAATATTTGACACAGCTACATAGTTTTTATGTCCTATCAATCTGTAATGGTAAATCCTTATCAAGTCCAACACTTCACACAGTCTTTTACGATTTCACACATTTCCTGACTCCTGTCCACTTCTTCTTTCATATGCTAAGCGGCAGCCTAGTCTTCCTGTTGCCACATTGTACTTAAAATGTAGCTGATCTCAGTTGTTTGCTGTTCTTTTACTTTCCTTTATTTGATATTGCTGGCTCCATTAAACAGTCTAACCTTGCAAACTGTGCCCTGCCAAACACAGTAAAAGCTCATATTCACACTGTGTCTCAGGCCTTATTTACTGGCCATCAGGAGCACATGGGGAAGTGTCTTTTTCAGGCTGCAACCTGTATTCATTTCTGAACAAATCCTACTTGAGAGGCAGCGAACTGTGACTAAATTGGGCGTAGGTTGCCATGGGAATGTCAGAACCAGAAACCAGAGAGTAAGCTACTTGCACTTTACTCCGAACGGCTGTAATAGGCACTTCAGATCCATGGGTGGTAAGCCAGTTACTTTAGAAAGTAACGTGCAGCTCACGCAGCAAAGGGGAACAGTTTCTCTTCGGCACTGGTGTCGAGGCAGCAAATCTCATTTGAAAGGCTCCCTTGGTTTACTTATTAAAAACTCAGTAAGACGGCAAGCTGACACACTCCGGTGCGTGCAAGAAAGGAAAACGCCAGGCTGAATGCAAACAGGGCACCACTGAACTGAAGCGTTAGCAGTTCCCCGGGTCCCAAAATCTTGTAGTAT